TGTGATCTTTAAGAGGGTAGGGGCGGTATTGAGGGTTTGTTCTTTTTCGCTGATTTTCGGGTTGGATCAACTATGGTGGTTGGGGAGAGAGGACAAGGGGTGCTGATGTCAGCAGGGTGAGAATTGAGAGGGCTGTTCCGCTTGGAGGGGGTGGGGCAGGAAGGAAGGGGGATCTTCTGCTCTGCGGGGGCATACTTTAGGGGGTATTGTATGCGACTGAGGGAGCAGGAGGGGTATTATGGGGCCTGTTTTGAACTGAGCGGGGAGGTGAGGGGGCGCCTTCCCGCGAAGGCAGTAAACAAACAGGGGGTTGTTTTTTGGGGGAGAGAAGTAATCCCTTTGACTCTTGTGAGTCTGTGACCCCTTGATATTTATCTGAGACCTCAATAAGTGTTGGAGTTCCCATGGGGAGAGAGGGTTGTTTTTTTCCCTCTCTTCCCCTCTCCCTGTGGGAATAGTGGGCGCTGGAATGTTCATGTGATTTTTTGGGATTTTTTGTGCCTGATTTTCCTAATTTTCCTTAATTGAAAAATTCTTCCAAGGTTTGGTGTTGGAGACAGGGGGTTGTGGTGGCTGTGATGGCGGGAGATGATGCGCTCTGCGGCGAAGGGGCTAGCCTGCAGGGTTGTAATAGGGTACAGCAGCGGTGGAGATGGTGGCTTCATCGTGGTAAGACTTATCGGAGTAGGGTTTAGGGGGTTTGTTGGGAGGATATCTGCAACCAGTGCATGAAGGAGACAAATAATGAGATCTACAGCTATGGTGCTGATTGGTGGCTTGACTGCTATTTGTCTTAGTCTTGAGTCCCAGTGGTTTGCAAAAAGACGAGGCCAGAACGACGCTGGTCGGTGTTGGGGCTTGGTCGTGCTGCCCTGTAACTCGAGTTGTACGAGGGCATGGGACCTGGTAGAGAGATCTGGGGAGTTGTCGAGGGTGGAAGGCACTCTAGTGTCTTGTGGTGAGCTGGTGCCTAGTCGACGCTGGCCGGAGCCGGGGCGGGTCGCTTTGCCCTGTGGCCTAGCAGGTGGGGGTTATTCTGGGGTGGGTCGTGCCACTCTGTAACTTAGCAGTTAGGGGCATGAGCCCTGGTAGAGATTGGGCATCGGGATATAGGGGTGAGGCAGGGAAGGGTTGAGCTGCTGAAAGGCCCTAAGGCAGGTGGTTTTTTTCCGAATGCTTCTTTGATCCGAGCTTTGGGGGACACAAAATTTCAGTGTTCTTGTAAAAAAAAAAAGTCGAAGCCAGGTAATAGCCCCGGTATCTTAAGGAATCTTCAAAAAAGGTTTGTTTACCGGTGTTTCTGATAATTCTTTAGGATTTTGGGGACTTCTAGCAACTCGCTTTAGGCTGTTTGATACTGGTACATTCATGGATCTGCGGTTGTTCAATGCAAGAACGACGCTGGCCGGTGCTGGGGTGTTGCCCTTTAACCTGTTGACTGCAGGAGCGTAAGGCCTGGTAGAGAGATTTGGGAATGCTTTGGGGTGGGCATTCCAAGTGACAACCAAGGGTTGCTGTTGGGACGACGCTGGCCGGAGCTGGGGCGAGTCGTGTTGCTCTGTAACCTAGCCGAGTGGGAGTGTGAGGCCTGGGAGAGTCCGATAGGGAATAAGACAGTGTTGGATAGTCTTAGAGAGTTTTGTTTTTGAGTCTAGGGGTTCTGAGCATTTGAAAAGAGGTCAGTAGTCATTCGTAGTTTTTCAACCTCTTTTTAATTCTCTTGAATTTCTTCAATAGTTCTCAATAGTTCTCAGATTGATTCTCAGTCGACGCCGGGTAATGGCCCAATAAAAAAAAANAAAAAAAAAAAAAAAAAAAAAAAAAAAAAAAAAAAAGGCATGCTCAAGGTGAAAGACAGATGGGTGGCGTTTCTTCTGGACACCCCGATATCACAGCAGCCTCTGGACCCGCTGGAGTGGGTGTGGACAAACACAACCGGTAGGGGCAAGGTATGCACTAGAACACTATACAACATAACAGTTAAAGCAACATATAAACTGCTCCGACCAAAAATCAATTTGCGAGACCAGGTGGAAACAAGATGGAGGAAACACCTGAACGTCAGCAAGGAATCACTAAGAAGAGTGAAATGGTTCCAGCTGACTTAGAAGAAACCTGCGAATCTCGCTTCCCTGCAATTGCAAGTAGAGCACCTGTGCCTACCAACCAATAATTGGCTGATAGACAGGTCGTCACTTGAACAGAGAGGGCTCGCCCTGCCCTGGTAAAGACTCTGTTCCAGTGCATTCTCATCAAGGAAAAAAACAGAAACAATGCAACACATTTTTCTGCAATGGCCCGAAGCAGATTGGCTCTGGCGCTGGTGGGACAGGGTCTGGGACCAGCTTGGAATAGGAGTACCCTGGCCATGGGACTGGAAAGCCTTGTTGTTGCAATATGTTCAAACTGGGACGCAAGGCAATACTATGGGCGCTTTGGAGACGCCGCTGCACCCATGAGATGGAAGGAGTGAGGTTGGAAGGGCGGGAGTTTACGAATAGCATACAACAACAAATTCACACAAACATAACAGCACGGTGGGAAGAAGTCAAGGCACAAATCTGCCACATACACACACAGAACGAAATAAAACAAAGGATACAAGAGTTCAGCAAAAGCTGGCTTGGGGCGGAAACAGGGGGGAGGATAGGAAAGGTGGAAGGAACGGGGGAAAAAGGGATCAAGGGAGGATGCAGGGCAACAAGGGGACCAGCAGAGACTACTGACTCCTCTTCCACGACTGGACCAAGATGAACGGCTCAATCCCGATGTGATCATGTGATGAATTCCCAGACTTCTTCACCCCCCCCGCTAACAGCCTAGTAGGAATAGAATGGTACAAGGGAGAGAGATGAAAAGAACGGAAAAGGAACAGAGGACAGGAGTCCCCCCAGGAGGGCCAATCTGTGGCAGGAAGACTGACTTGTAGTTGGGGAGGGTGAGAGCAGGTGAAAAACAGGTGCAAAACGGGAGGAAGGGCTTAGGGTTTAAGGGGCCGAAAAGTGCTCAGATTGTATTTAAGACTGTAAGGAGGGATGACAACAGGAATGGTAGCTAGACTGCTAGCAATCACAGATAGAATCAGGCGGCCCCTAAAGGGGCTGAAGAGGCAGGCCCAGCTCACCAACACACATCAGTACCCGCACAGTCAATCCCCCAGGAAGACAGGGGTAATCAATGCTGGCGGTCGGAACACAATGATCTAGATAATAAACTTTCTCTGATTGTAAAAGGGACGCCGGACCCGTTTTCCAGCAGGTACGGCTCCCCACCAATAGATGGAGCAGCGGGTGGCTACTACTAGCGGGGGCTGCTCCAATCACCCCATCTAGTAGACGGCCAAGGCTTAAAAAAAAAAAAAAAAAAAAAAAAAAAGCCAATCAACTCCCTTTTCTACCCAAGTGCCCCATACAGAATCCTTTGTTGGCAAGAGTCCATGGCTTTCTTTGTGTGTCCAGAATCCACTGATTGCATAAGATAGGCTGTCTCAAAACCTCTTCTTTGGCTAATGGCACTAGTAGTTACACCCCTGTTCCTCCTCTTTTTCATCCGTCTCTGGCTCTTTGCGGACGCTTCTTTCATTGCCCAGGACTTGGAGATGATCTAGAACAGCCCTCGCATGTTGTCTGGGGTTTTGTATTTGGTTAGTTGAGTGATCCTTCGTAGGCCTTCTTTTTTTCTTTTTTTTTTTGTGAAAACACTGCCCGCGACAACAGATTTGAGTGATGATAGAAGCATGCACTTCTACCTGTCTTGCAGGTCGTTCCAGTCCATTGGTGGGGAGCTACACCTGCTGGAAAGCTGGTCCAGTGTCCCCTGAGATACAATGTCAAGATGGTAGATCAGCACATGCTGGGAAACATAGAGCTTCACACTGACAGCTTTGATTTCTTCTCATGTCCAAAGCATTAACCATAGCACTCCTACCTTTACTCATAAAGGTATTTCCCACCCTTTTCTGTACAGTACCTAATGATCCCTTCCGCCCACTCCAAATGATCTAATGATCTGATGTGATGTGACTGATGTCCTTTTCTTGTTCACTTAGCTTATCATTAGTCCCTTAAACTCCCTTTTCTTGTTCCCTTAGCTTATCATTAGTCCCTTTTCTTGTTCCCTTAGCTTATCGTTAGCTGAAACAGAGAGTTTCAGACCAACAGCATTGACGACAGTAACTCCTCCGGTGAGAAGGATTAACCATAATATCCCTCCTTTATGAAGGGTATTTCCCACCCCTTGATATTCTATCAGGCGTCTAATGATCCCATGATTTACGGTCCCAGGGCCTCTCATGATCCCTTACTCCCTCTCCTAAGGATCTGATGTGATGTTGTTTGCAGCTTTCTCATTCCCTTAGTTCATCCTCGATCGAGTTGCATTCCTTGGTGTTGCTTTTGTGGCTTGCTCTCCGTGGTGCTTCTTTTGCGGCTTGCGTCTGATTCTGTGTCTGCTCTGCTTGTTTCCTCTTATCGTATTTTCCTTTTGAGGGCAGGCCATCATCACCTGCCTTTCTTCTTCACTCCAATCAGCTCCTACTCTGCTAGTTCCCTTTTGATGGCAGGCCAGTCACTCCCATCAGCTCAACTCTCGGAATACAAGACAACATCATGCAGCCAGTCATGGATGAAAGGAGGGATTTGTTCCTCCTCCTCCTCCTTTGTCTTCTCCTTAAACTACCATTACATACGAAAAAGCAGATTGCGCCTCTCCTAAAAATTTAGAGGCCATGGACCTTCGATAAAATGACTCGGCGAGTTCATGGCCTCCTATTTTTTAGGAGATGTTCAATCTGCTTTTTCGGACGTACTGGTGGTTTAAGCACAGGTCTCAACTCAGTACTGAAGGTCCCAGTTTACCAGTGCTCACCAATAGTGCAGGCATGTCCTGAACCCCTATGGAGCTGTTTTAGAGTGTTTCTCATTTTCTCAAAAGTTGATTGTGCTTTCAGACAGAAAACGAAGGGCGCTTATCGAGGGTTACCAACTTGGCATGATGAACAGGTAATGCTGCAAGGAAGGCCAATTTAGGAGAGAAGAAAGAAGCAGCGAGGGCACACAGGAAGACGAAACTGAAGGGACTGGAAGAACTCACAGAGGATTTGGTGCGTTTTCTTAACTGAGCTGAGCAGACTTGATCTCTTTTCATTGCACATAGTTGGATATTGTTTCTACGAGCTCTGTCTTCATGCTTTGTTCAAGGTCCCACTTACCTGGATTCAGATATTGTTTCTACGAGCTGTGTCTTCATGCTTTGTTCAAGGCCCCACTTACCTGGATTCTTTGTTTCCAATGCTGTTGTCTTTGTTCGTTTTTGCTTCCAAAACCGTGTTTATCGGGACTGACAGCAGAGTGGCAGGAAGTGTGCAGTAAGTGGGCATCCCGGTAGATCTCTTAGCGAGAGTGTCTTTTGTTTTTTGGTGTTGTGCATATGAGAGAGTATGAGACTTTACGCACATGTGTGTGTGTGTGTGTGTGTGTGTGTGTGTGTGTGTGTGTGTGTGTGTGTGTGTGTGTGTGTTTGTGCTTAAAAGACCCCAGATTCTCTCTCTCATTCCCTTCACAAATCATCACAAGCCATCCATACAACAAAACGGTTAGAGATAGGCAAAATAATAAAAAAATAGTAAAAACTGCAAGGTTGGCCACGTTTGTGTGGTTCAGCGACAAGTGCCCACACACCTGTCTGCCGCCAAAACGGCAGACTTGCACATATACATATGTATACATATATATTTCAAAGTCCACAAGGGGATGGAGGTCAGAAGGAAACTTACCTAAGACAGAAGACTACGCCAGCAAGAAGGCACCAACCCGACCCCCTCAAAGGTCCGAAAAAACTTGGAGAGCCTTCCACATCGGCCCACAAAACCAAAAACTCATTTACCCAAAAAACAAACAAATATAACAGCATTGGCATTCCCGACATTCATCTCAAACTACACACTCGCGTCACTGCCATCAAGGAAGAGAAGATAAGAGACAACTTACCTAAGACAGATGACACCTCCAGCAAGAACAACTGACCCCCCCTGCTAAGGGTCCAAAAAAACTGGGAAAGCCTTCCACGCCGGCCCACAAAACATACATTCCCCCCAAAGAGAACTCATGGGCACCCGTAAACATCCAAACGGCCCATGCTCTAAAGCAGGGCAAAGAATTAGGCCGTGTATAATCAACAAAACCGACAAGACATATCCAACCACAAAAAGAGAGAATAGCTCGCTAGT